AGAGAGAGAGAGAGAGAGAGAGAGAGAGAGAGAGAGAGAGAGAGAGAAAGACGCCTCAATGTCGATGGCAAACTCTCCGTACGTGAACTATACCACAACTTGCAACTCTTCGAGTAAATGTACTTTTTTTGTAGGTTTTATTTACAATTTTAGAAATATAATAACTATTATTATGCAGTCGATCTCCGCAAAAGAGACGAAAAGAAAGCAAAATTTTGTTAAGGAGCAAAGCATTGGAATTATGTTGCATGTGAATGTAAATTCTACTTTAAGAGTTATTTGAAATGGTATATTTCAAATTTAATCAATTTTTATAAACCGAAAGTATTTAGTTATTCAATCGAATTCCACATAGGTATAATCAATTTAGTAGATAATAATTTTAAATAGGAAAAATAATTTACAATTTTGCTACTTATGAAATTGACGTTATGTTATGAATTACGTTATTTGTCATGTCCTTTAATAAACAGTGAATTGATAATCCGACAAGAAGAAACACAGAAACTGAACAATAGGATATTTCATTGTTTTATGAATCTGCAATTTATCAGCAGCTCTTTTTACAGGCTAAGCTACATTCTATGGGGCTTTAGTTTAAATTATCAATTTAATTATATCAATTGAGGAAAGATAAATGATCCCATATTCTGGACACGTCAAGACAAAATTATTTTAGAATTTATTTTAGAATTTATATTTCATATTTTCATACAATGATTAAATTTTAATCTGTATAATTGATGCTTAACTTTTAATTTTATATTTTATTAAAATGTTTGACTAACAATAAACTGTTGTCTATTTAACTGACACTCTTATCTTTCCTATTAACTATAAATTATTCCAATTAAAAATAACAATTTTAGTAATAATAACTTGTTATATTAATTTAAAATTACTAATATAAATAGCGATACAAATAATGAATAAATTAAACGAGCAAAGATTTTCCACATTTCATTCATTACTCATACTCAGTGTATTAACTTTTTTGCCACGTTTAAAAATCAATGTCCAGGATGGGATCATTTGCCTAATTTACATCTTGAAAATCACTGAAAATGAGAATTGTTATTAGAATCAAATACTGCATAAAAATGTATAAATCATCCCCCAGATACGTTTTGATGCCAAAGTAAGGTATAATAAGACTTCACAAACTACCCTGTGTATGTGTATATGTACGTGAATATAGACTTATATATATATTTTCTATGAAAAAACTTTAGGGATTTCCGGACGTACGCTTTCTATTATACTTCTCTCACTAGAGAATATACATATATGTTTCGTAACGTAAGTAGCACGTTTAAATTGTTGAACTATAATAGGGCCAGAAAAAAGAATTACATTCATAATAAATAAAACAAACTCATTTTTCATGAATTCTAACTACCAGGGGCGAAACCAATAGCGTTAATATTTTGAGCACGTTCCATGTGTGAGCAGGGGAGTTGTAAATTTTACAAAATTTTGTAATTACATGTATAACATAAATAAACATACTAAATTTAAAAAATTTACGTCAAGTACTTTGGCTGCAAAAAATCATCGGTATAAATGAATTGGTTAAAGCATCACTGAAAAACTTTGCACATTTAAAGTTTGTCGTTACGCTTGCCACTACCTTTACCTTCAATGCTCTTTCATTGGTTTTTGGACAAAATCTACGCATTTTAATTTGTTTACATTGTAGGAATTCAAGTCGAAGAACAACTTTCCATGCTTGCATGTCCCCGTCGCCGATATGATTGGCATATTCTACGTCATGTACCTCGAAATATGCTTCGCGTATTGTTTAACAAAAGCTTCTGTATCTACGTAAATTTTTCAAATTTCGAAAAATTTCTTTTGCAAGATACTTTCAAATATTCAAAAGATTCTAAAAGTACAATTTTTTTAATAACACTAGTATACAAAATAAAAAAACAAAATAAATGTACATTCAATGCCACAAATTTTTTCTTATGTATTTTGGACTACTAACCTCGAAAATTGCAAAAAAAAATTTTTCTATGAATAGGTTTTTTTTGTATGAATTTTTGAATTTTTTTTCGATTTTTTTCTGAGATGGGTTCACATTGTAGGCCATATCTCGAATTAGAAATGTCCGATTGGGTCACGCAAGACGCCACTTTAAAGGTAATCGAATTTCCAACAATTGCTTTTCACATTATTTTCCAATCGGTTTAATAGTTTAAGTGTTACGAGCCAATACATATGAGAAACTTTGATTTTTTCGGCTAAAATAGAACACGAATATTTCTTCTATCGCCATGGAAAAATAAAAATTGTCCAATTATGTCCAGTTTCTTATTGTTTACGTATAGATAGCACTTTTCCGGAGAAAACAAGCTTTTTGTTGAAGAAAATCTATGGATAAATACCGGAGTTAGGAATAATTGAGTAAAGGTACAAAAATCTCAATTTTACTATGTTTTTGTATTTTTGTCCTATTTATATAGGAAACGTTTATTTAATTAATTTCGGCCTTTACTTTGTCTTTTGTTATTCGTTAGGTTCGTTTCTCTGATGAGGAACCAAATGTAGTCTCCCAACATTCTTTCATCCCAATATCCTTGATAGCGCTGCTCAATAGTTTAGGGCTCTTGCTCGGCAGAGTATGAATTATAAGGAAGTTGTTGAATATTTGGTAATAAATTATGCAAAAATGGGTATGGAATATATATTGTTATTCTATTTGATTTGACAAAATGGAAAAATTTGTACATTTAATTTCAATTTTAATCTAAACAGGCGTAAATATGTCGCTCAAAATTCATTTCTTACATTCTCACTTGGATTTTTTCCCGGAGAATCTTGGCGATGTAAGTGACGAACACGGCGAAAGGTTTCACCAAGATATCAAAACTATTTAGCAGCGCTATCAAGGACATTGGGATGAAAGAATGTTGGGAGACTACATTTGGTTCCTCATCAGAGAAACGAACCTAACGAATAACAAAAGATAAAGTAAAGGCCGAAATTAATTAAATAAACGTTTCCTATATAAATAGGACAAAAATACAAAAA